GTGCGTAGGGGACAGGGGAGTTAGTTACTTCTAACAAAAATAACACTTCGAACATCCCCACCCTGTCCCAGAAGAAGCATTCCTACATGTGCAGCCTTTATTATGCACAGGGTCACCCTGTGAGGCCTGCTGGAGTTGGGTCAGTGCGAGGGGATTCTTCTCCAAGACATCCACAAGGCCTGGCGCCATGGCCTCGAGAAAGTCCCGTCGATGTGGCTCCTGGAACCACCCAAATCTATGCAATACCTTGCATACCCTAAACTATGGGAATTATGGTGTGTATTGGTGTGTTCCCCAAGGAACCCCAAATAACCCCTGACAAAGGGCATGAGGCAATTCTTTGGGGTACTTCGAGGCATGGCCTTTACGGCCAGTTAAGGCCCCAGAAACACAGGCCCACGAGGCGAATCTTGGGCAGCAGTTCACCACATTTCTTTCGGGATCCATTGCCCCACTCCCCCCAAGCACCAGTAACGCAAGCATATCGCGCACAACTTCATGATATACATATACCCGATATCATTGCAACAATTCACAAAAATGGAGCCCTTAGAGTTTAGTACAAAGAACTGGCTGCAGACACTGACACCCCCCTACAAGTCCAAGCGGTAGTTAGGGACTGAGGGTTGTGAGATGTTGCCATGATCCAGGGTGAATATACCAAAATGACATATTTGGTGCGAGCCCTGGACTAAATTGCCCCCCCCCAAAAAAAAACTTGCACAGACCCTTTTTATGACCCACTTCTGGTCGCGGAATACTTCTCCATCGCATACAGCAACCACTCCCGGGCTCATGTCAGATTCTTTCTTGATGGTTGAAATCCCGTCCTTCATGACATGTCGAACCGCCTCAGGGTCTACAAGCGGCAAACAGCTTGCCAGCCCGAACAACAAGCAACACGCACAGCAATAGGGTTCGCAACCCACAAGCCCCTAAAACCCCTAAAGCCATCAAAGCCCCTCTCATGCCTGGAGTGCTTTTGCTGTTTTTGTTCTTTTCGTGGGGGCGGGGGGGGGGGGGGGGGGGGGGGTTCTTCTGTTTCTTGACCGTTTTCCTTGGTTTTTCCCAGGAAGACCTCCAGTTCCTGTGTACGTAGGACCTTTGGGGTCTATGTGAGGTAGCCTCTTGGTTGGTGCTATATTAGTATGAAGAGATAAGTGTTTCAAGTGTTTCAAGTGTTTTGAAACACTTTTGAAACACTTGAAACAGTTTTCTGCCCCCCAGAAAACTCTTTCAAGTGTTTCAAAACACTTGAAAGTGTTTCAAAACACTTGAAACAGTTTTCAAGTGTTTTAATGAGTTTGGGAAATCCCAGAGATTTTCCCCAACCCATTAAAACACTTGAAACACTTTTCCGCCCCCCCCCCCCCCAGACAACTGTTTCAAGTGTTTCAAAACACTTGAAACAGTTTTCTCCCCCCCCCCCAGAAAACGGTTTCAAGTGTTTCAAGTGTGTTAATGGGCTTGGGAAATCCCAGAAATTTTCCCCAAAACGCTTGAAACACTTGAAACACTACTTGAATCACTTGAAAAAGTTTTCTCCCGCCCAGAAAACTGTTATCAAGTGTTTCAAAACACTTGAAACAGTTTTCTCTTCACCAGAAAACTATTTCAAGTGTTTCAAGCGTTTGAATTGGGTAGGGAAATCCCAGCAAAACATAGGGATTTTCGCCAGCCTGGCGACTCTGGAAACCCTCAAGTTATTAATTTTCGTGATTTTTGGTCATTTTGTGGATTCCCTTAAGGCCAAAACATAGGGGTTTTCGCTAGGCTGGCGACCCTGAAATCCTGAAGTTCGTGATGTTTGACCATGTTTGGGATTCCCTTAAGGCCAAAACATAGGGATTTCCGCTAGTCTGGCGTCTCTGAAAACTACAAAATTCATGATTTTCGTGATTTTTGACCATTTTGGGCGTGGTTTTTGGTCCTTTTCGGAATTCCCTTAAGACCACAACATAAGGAATTTCGCTGGTCTGGCGAACCTGAAAATCCTGAAATTCGTGATGTTCGTGATTCTTGACCGTTTTGGGCCTTCAAGGAAAAAACCTCCTTAAGGCCAAAACATAAGGATTTTCGCTAGTCTGGCGACCCTGAAAGCCCTGAAATGCGTGATTTTCGTTATGTTTGACAATTTTGGGCCTTCAAGGAATTTGCTTAAGGCCAAAACATAGGGATTTACGCTAGTCTGGCGACCCTGAAAGCCTGAACACTCTCAAATGTGAAATTTTAATGTTTTGTTTTCAACATTTTGGGCCTTCACAGAATTCCCTTAAGGATTTTCGCTAGTTTGCCGACCCTGAAAACACTCAAATTCATAACTTTCGTGATTTTGACCATTTTGGGCCTTGAAGGAATTCCCTTAAGGCCAAAACAGAGGGATTTTCGCTAGTCTAGCGACCCTGAATATCCTGAAATTCGTGATTTTTGTGATGTTTGATCATTTTGTGCCTTCAACGTGATTTGTGGTCATTTTGGGAATTCCCTTTCGGCCAAAACATAGGGATTTCCGCTAGTCTAGCGACCCTGAATGTCCTGAAATTCGTGATTTTTGTGATTTTTGGTCATTTTGTGCCTTCAAGAAATTTGCTTATAGCCAAAACACAAGGATTTTCGCTAGTCTGGCGACTCTGGAAGCCCTGCTGGCGACCCTGAAAACTCTCGAATTCATAATTTAGTGATTGTTTCTTTTTCTCCATTTTGGGCCTTCATGCAATTCCCTTAAGGCCACAATCATAAGGATTTTCGCTAGTCTGCAGACCCTGACACTCAAATTCATAATTTTCGTGATTTTTGACCCTTTCGGGCCTTGATGGAATTCCCTTAAGGCCAACACATAGGGATTTTCGCTAGTCTGGCGACCATGAAAACCCTCAAATTCGTAATTTCAGTGATGTTTGACCATTTTGGGCCTTCAAGGAATTCCCTTAAGGCCAAAACATAGGGATTGTCGATGAAAACCTCAAATTCATAATTTTAGTGATTTGTTTTACCATTTTGGGCCTTCAAGGAATTCCCTTAAGGGCAAAACATAGCAGGAATAGTGCTAGTCGTATTAGTACTAGTACTACCACTAGAAGTAGTGGCACATGAGAAGAAGACAGCACCGCATAGATCCAGGCTGATTTTGTCCGACCATTTCTTGTCCGAAAACAGATAGACAAAATCTGCCTAGATCTACGCGCTTTGACAAATGTGGCGCGCAGATCCAGGCAGAGTTTGTCTAAACTCTTTGTCAGAAAATATAAAGGATAAAATCTGCCTGGATCTACGCGCCACGTCTTGGGAAGAGCATCATGTGTCATATAGACCCACCAAGGGGGGGACAGGTGAGACCTGCGCACAAGGCAGAATGTAAGAATGATGCGAGTTAAACCCTAAACCCTAAACCCCCGTAAACCCTAAACCCTAACCCCTAACCCCTAAACCCTAATCGCCAAGCTTTTTGGTGCTCTGCACGCTGCATGTGAAGGACAGGTTGAACTGCAGGTCCTAAAAGGGTGGCCCTGGGAATGCCTTGGGGACACCCTTTTTTCGGGTAATGGGGGTTTAGGGTTTAGGGTGTAGGGTTTAGGGTTTGGGGTTTGGGGTTTAGGGTTTGGCCGCGTAGATCCAGGCAGATTTTGTCCAACCCCATTTTTCCGAAAACACTATGGACAAAATCTGCCTGGATCTGGGTGCTGCCTTTTTTCATTGACAAATGTGGCGCATAGATCCAGGCAGAGTTTGTCTAAACTCTTTGTCAGAAAATATAAAGGACAAAATCTGCCTGGATCTACGCGCCACGTCTTGGGAAGAAAACAGCACCGCGTAGATCCAGGCAGATTTTGTCCAAAAAAACACGACGGACAAAATCTGCCTGGATCTACGCGCAGTCTTTTTCTGTGACAAATGTGGCACGTAGATCGGCAGAGTTTGTCTAAACTCTTTGTCAGAAAATATAAAGGACAAAATCTGCCTGTATCTACGCGCCACGTCTTGGGAAGAAAACAGCACCGTGTAAATCCAGGCAGATTTTGTCCAACCATTTTATGTCAGAAAACATAATGGACAAAATCTGCCTGGATCTACGCGGTGTTTTTGTGACCAATGAGGCGCGCAGATCCAGGCAGATTTTGACGAAGCGTGTTCACAACGCATGATGGACAAAATCTGCCTGGATCTACGCGGTGCCCTTTGCTTTACACAAGGTGACCTATCTGGGCCTTTGCAAATCCCGTTTTCGCTAGTTTGGCAGCCTTGGAGCATTTCCCTTTCGCGTCGCCCGGTTTAACAGGGTGTCTCTATTCTCTCGTCGCGTCGCCCGGTTTTACACGGTGCATTGCCCTCTCGCGTCGCCCGATGTTACAGGGTGGGAGGAGTCATGTTTCGGGACGCACCAATAAACAAACCAATTAGGAGGATGTATGGGCGCCGCCTGTTGTTACAGGGTGTAATGTTTTCGCGACGCCCGGTTGTGGCTCTGTACAGACCCAACACTTTGCTAGTACCATTTTGGTTGTCTTTATGGGTGAAAATGGAAAATCGGGCAAGGAGGGGGGGTGAGGATTCCTCCATTCAACGATTCAGCCATTAAAACCATTGCGTCCTTTTCAACAGGTTGTTCCGGTGTGTCCTCAACCTCACAAACGAAAGGTTTTTTTCTGCAAACCGTGGTGTGTCCTCGACCTCAAAGACGAAAGGTATTTTGTGAACCCTGGTGTGTGCTCAGCCTTAAAACATGGGGTCTTAAAACCGAACGGTTTTTCGTAAGCCCTGGTCCGTCCTCAACCTCAATAGATTTTCTACTAACCAACTAACAAACTAACTAACTAACATACTGGAAATACTTGAGGCAGGCATGATTTTTCACTTCGACCATGTAAATCAAGTATTTCCAGTGTGTTCGTTTACTGTTCGTTTACTAACTAGTAGTCATGTTCAAGTAAACATTTGTATTGGGCATTCATGACAGAATGATTGAGGAAGATGTAAGTGATGTAAGGGAAAAAAGCCGCGCCATGCTCCACCACCTCAGCGCCCGACGCCAGGAGAGCAACATTGTGGCTCCCAACACCCAGCTCCCGAAAGCCGTCTCTTCCTCTTTTCATCTCCATATGGTCTCGCACCCACGCTCTTTCTTTCTTTCTGCGCACCTAACCCCGCGTGCGTTACACCCACGCTCTCTTTTCTTTTCTCTTTCTGCGCACTTAACCCCCCCCGTTTAGGAGAGGGCCCTCTCCACGCTCTCTCTCTCTCTCTCTCTCTCCGCGCTTGGTCCCCCCCGAAGGAGGAGGCCGCCCCCAGGGGCGCACGAAGTCTTCTCTTCTTCTCCTCTTCTCCTCTTCTCCTCTTCTCCTCTTCTCCTCTTCTCCTCTTCTCCTCTTCTCCTCTTCTCCTCTTCTCCTCTTCTCCTCTTCTCCTCTTCTCCTCTTCTCCTCTTCTCCTCTTCTCCTCTTCTCCTCTTCTCCTCTTCTCCTCTTCTCTTCTTCTCTTCTTCTCTTCTTCTCTTCTTCTCTTCTTCTCTTCTTCTCTTCTTCTCTTCTTCTCTTCTTCTCTTCTTCTCTTCTTCTCTTCTTCTCTGAAGAGGAGGATCCCCAGGATCGACCCAAAAGTAGTCGATTCCAAATGAGGTGTCGAAGAGAAATCATATGACAGAAAATGAAGCCTTCATTTTCGGATTTCAGGCTTAATACAAACGACTCGAAAAAACTGAAAAAAACACAATAACTAATAAAAACAATACCAAAACTCAAAAAAAAGTCTCTCTTCTGTCTTCTCTCTTCTCTCTTCTCTCTCCTCTCTCCTCTCTCCTCTCTCCTCTCTCCTCTCTCCTCTCTCCTCTCTCCTCTCTCCTCTCTTCTCTCTTCTCTCTTCTCTCTTCTCTCTTCTCTCTTCCACGGTCTGTCGGGTGTGACTTCCGCGTGTTTCGCGGGCCACTTTCTGGGTCTCTCTCTCCCTCTCTCTCTCTCTCTCTCTCTCTCTCTCTCTCTCTCTCTCTCTCTCTCTCTCTCTCTCTCTCTCTCTCTCTCTCTCTCTCTCTCTCTCTCTGCACGCCTAGCCCCCCCCCGAAGGGAGAGCGGCCCCTAGGGGCGCGCTCTCTCTCTCTCTCTCTCTCTCTCTCTCTCTCTCTCTCTCTCTCTCTCTCTCTCTCTCTCTCTCTCTCTCTCTCTCTCTCTCTCTCTCTCTCTGTCGAAGCACCACGGCTCCAGCTGATACAGTGTGTAGTAAACTCTCCCATGGTGCGTACATGCCGGCGAGTCTGGTCCCTTCTTCTTTTGACATGGTCCTGGCAATGCACACCAACAAGCCACCGACGGCCCCATATTCTGGGAGCCGAAGCAACACTCCCTTTGCGGACGAGTTGGTGGAGGCGGCTAACAAACAGGAGCAGCAGGGGCACGATTGATGCTCAGGAAGCTGAATTGGTCTTCATGCTAAGGACTGACTCCGCAGTGAGGAAGGAACGCTTCTCTTGGGCTGGAGTTTGGGGTTTGCAGCTCCCTCAGCCCAGTACTTCGGGGGCAGTCATGAGGGTTACATTGCTTCAAAAGGGAAGCCACGCGGCCCCCTCGGGGAGCCGGAGCAGCGCAGACCAGGTATGCATGCAGCTTCCCCTAAGAGAAGCCTCTCTCAAGCCCTCCGTGTGTCAGGACTTGGCCCGGGTGGAGTGCCGCCGGATACTCGACTTCGTTCGGCCGGGCTCCCGGCGGCTACAGCACACTGGAAAGGCAGACTGTGCATGGTTCTTCTTGTGTGCTGGTCTTCAGCGTCCTGCAGGGAGCAGTGAGACTGGCTGCGGCTCTAGCCAAGGGCAATGGGGATTGATGTGTACATGCAGAGGCAGGTCTCAAGTTCACGCTTTTTCACCCGCCCTCACGGCCCGGCAGACCCCAGTTGAGCAACGCAGACAGACACTTCCGTCTAACCGTGCAGCCCCTAATTTGCAGACCCACGGCCCCTTTGGGATGCCGCCATGGCACAGGCGTAAAGGACACCGAGCGAGGGTGAGGCCCGACGGAACCAGGCGCAGAACACAGGGAGAACTAGAGGCAAGAGCTGAGAGGCAGGCACAAAGAGCAGCGGTGACCCCTCCTCCTCCTCTCGCTCATGCTTCAAGAAGAAGGCCTCCTTCTCCACCGCCGCCCAGCAGGAAGTGTGCCAGAGCAGACCCAGAGGCCGTAGAGGTTGTAGAGGTTGTTGACGTGGAGGACGTTGAAGAGGAACCAACTTCGGCGCCCGCAGTGGTACCGCGATCCTCTGAAGGTTCCCGGTCTCCACCCACCGCCAAGTGGTGGCCAAGGTCACGAGCTGCGGCGCCCGACAGGGTACCGGGCCCCTCGTCGAGAGACAGTCGGTCACGGCCCTCTTCGTCTTCGTCCGGGATGGCTCCCTTGGCGACAAGATGTCCTCGGGAGGCGCCGCGAACTCCGGTTTATGGCGAGCGTCGGCGCCGTATCAGTGGGATACTTAGTTGCATCCTGCGCCACGACGCCGTCCGTCTCCGCGTCCCCATCCTGGGTGACGGCACCTGTGATCTGCGCACGCTGGTCCAGGCAAGGGACTTGCGCCAGCTCGGCGTTACCGAAGGCGAAGTTCTTTATGTGGTCGACACCGACAGGAAGGGCAGGTTTGAAGAGATCCAGTACCCCTCTAAACCCCGAATAAGAGCAGTGCAGGGCCACAATCGACAAGTCCAGGCCAGGCTGGATGATACCCGTATGTATGAGACTCTGACGGCTCGCTCGGTGGTGGGTCTCACAGCCTTTCACGGGACACGCCGTGACCGGCTGGCGGAGATCATGAACAGCGGTCTCCAGGCAGGCGGCCCCCGCGGGGACCGGGCCCACATCCACATGGCCACGAGCATGGATGGGGTTAGAGCAGACTCGGAGGTGGTGCTGGTCATGAACCCCGAAATCCTCCTGGCAGCCGGCCTCACGCTCTTCCGTTCACGCAATGGCTACCTGCTGACGCCAGATGCCATCGCCCCTGAGCATATCCAGCGCGTCATCCGCTGCAAAAGCATCCAGCAAGGGACACATGCGCAAACCCGTGCATGCAGTGACAACTCATCTTGTCTGTCAGTACAGCTTTACTCATTTGCTGCCCAGGCTGCTTCCTGCTCTCGGCGCCCGTCTGGGTACCGTCATAGGTCGTGGGCTCGGCACGGAGCAAACGGCAGACTGTATCTGAGTAGGGTGTGGAAGTTCAGATACGTGCCAGCTCCTTTCCGTCGGAGGTGGCATCGACTCACCAGGGCCAGGGTGAGGCGCGCCCTTCTGTCTGTGCAGGGCTTGCAAGTTAGACTGCTAGGTAGTTGCGGAGCAGCCGTTTCATGCCTGCATGCCCGCCGACTTGCGCAGATGGACCAAGATAGAGGTAACTACTGGAGGCCCCACGGGGGACCCCGAAACCGCTATAGGGAGGATGGGACTCGGCGCCGCTCGGCGGGGGAGCTGGCCAAGCGGGCGACCAGAGCTGCTGAGAAGGCAGCACAGACGGCCCCCACTCAGGGGACCGCTGCAGCCGAGCCCGCTGCAGCGGCTGCAGCGTCTTCAACTGTGCCGCCGGCTACGCAGCAGCGGGTGGAGGCATCTTCTGGCAAGCAAGCCCCAGTGGTATCTGCCATGTCTGCCAACGCACCAGCTTTTTACCCTAAGATGACGCAAGCGGCCCCTTTCCTGGGAGCCGGAGTTCAGACTTCCCAGCAGGTGCCTCCGATGGCTCCGTCACCTGTGCAACAGTCTGGGCATGGTGCCAAAGCTGCCATCACATGCTGCCCCACTCACACAGCCGACCAGGGGGCTTCCAACGCGCAGGCTTCGGTGTCTTCCACGCCCACACCTTTGCCAGGACCCCCCCAACAGCCTCTCACCAAGGATGTCTCTGGAGGCGCCACAGAACAGCAACATTCCACTGCGTCCCCCCAGAGGGTCGACGGATGGGCCCAGGCGACGCCGTCCAGGGTTGACAGCTCGACGCAGACGGTGCCGCCGCCGCCCCCGCCGCCTCCAAAAAGACACAGGTCAGTGCCGGCGCCAGTCCTGATACCCGCGGTTGCTTTTACAGCCACAGAATCCGAATGTGTTCGAATCTGGGGTATCTTCGACTCTGTCAGAGAGATTTCCCATCGTCTTAAAGCTGCCGGGCATGCTGAGCGGTATCGGGCCTTCTTGGCCAAAGGCCACTACCGCAAGTACCACTCAGCCTTTCACAACTCTCCGGCCACCTCGGGTGTGCCGCGCGTGGGCAACTGGTGCGTGGGTGCTGCGGCGACCTGTCTGCTTCCCGAGGTCCACGTCTTTTTCCCAGGAGACCAGCCGGAAGCTGTGGGAGACGCGACAGAGGCGTGGTTTGGCCGGGAATGTGGTGCGACGCTCCCTCATGAGCCTCTCCAACTTCCACCTCCTGCTGATGTGGGTCTCGAAGCCTCCCGATATGAGTGGAAGCAGGACTTCTGTGCGCTGCTCAACCTGACCCACTCTCTCCACGAAGGTATTCCGACAGGCCTGTATAGGAAGCTTCACTGGTGGGACTCCTTAGCAAATAGGGAACTAGCCTTTGCCCAGTTTTTTCCGCGCCCGAGTGGGCTGACGGCCCCCCAAGGGGACCGAGGCGCAGCTGCAGAGCCACTGCGGCCAGGGCGTCGTCACTTTCTCACGCCTGACTCGGACACCTCAGCTTCAGTGGCATTTTACGAGATGTGCTGTAGGCAGTTGCTTCGGTTAAAGCTGCGAGTCACACTCGTAAGTTCCTCAAGCCTCTGTCAGGTACGTGGCCTGTTTTCGCGGAATCAGGCCTGGTGGCTCTGGCCTTGGTTGCTTGCTCTCATGTTCAAGCACTTTCTCAAAGTTAACTTCAGCTGTGTCAGTTATGCAATGTGCCAACGCACGTCGAGCCGTCCCGGTCCCAAGTCCGGGGCTAGACACACCTATGTGTTTCTTCTCGTGATTTTCTCGACCTTGGTGGTGTCTAGTGGTGTGAGGGTTGGTGGTCAGGGTACCTCCCCGCCACCCGGAGGGGCTGGTGCTCCAGGTCTCTCTGTTAACAAGGCTGTCCCGAAGCCTAGAGGTAGGAATGTTCCTGACTTGCTGGCTTCTCCCCCTACCTTCAAAACTGCAAAACGAGCCTTCCAGAGGGCTCTGCGTCGAGCGCAACTTCATGGTACCACCATGTATCGCGGCCGTTGTCGTACTTTACAGGAACTGGGTGGCCGTCCGGGAGCTGTGTTCACCTCCAAGGGTCTGCCAGGTTCTTCAACTGCTGCTCCCTCCCGCTCCCCCTATGCGAAGCATGGCCCCCGACTTACCGTGCTTACGCTCAATGTGGGCGGTCTCTCGCAGGACGCGTGGGACGAAGTGCAGATCTGGATACATGACCAATGCACTCAGGACATCATCCTCCTGCAAGAAACACATTGGTCACACAGCAATATGTTCTTTCTCCCTCGCTACATTGTGATCCATTCGGGTACTGCTGGCCATCGTCATCAGGGGTGTGCGATCTTACTATCTAAGCAACGATTCACACCCTCCGGAGTGCGGTGGGCGCCCATAGTTCCGGGCCACCTCCTTCACGCGCGGGCCTCTCTGGGAACAAAGCCGGTGGACGTAGTATGTTTGTATCAGCACTGCTGGAGTCACAACGGGGATACTGCCTCGCTTCTGCAACGAAGGGAGCGTCTCTGGGTACAGCTGGACAAACTTCTCGGAGGAGTTCCGCGGCGAAACGTGTTGGTGTTGGGCGGGGATTTCAATGTCGGCGGCCGTATGGATGGTCAAGTGTTCGGCCCAGGCACTAAATCTGCCAGAGCGCCCCCTCCCGACCAGCCACTCTTTCAGAGTCTGTTGCAGACTCACTCCCTGCAAGCAATCAACACTTGGAAGAGTGGCTTACGTGCCTTTACCTTTCAGAATGGAGAAACGTTCACTCAAATTGACTTTCTGATTGGCCGTGCGCGTCAGGTTGATGATATGGCTCGTGGCGCTGAGTCGGACCACAACTGTCCTGTCTTGAAGTGGCGGTACGGCCCTCTGCACCACCCGGTCTATGGGTCGTTTCCTGCCTGCTGGTATGCCACTGCGCCGGCCACTCCCAGTGTGCCGAAACAGGCAAAGCTTAGCCTTGCCCAAACTCCTGAAGCCATTCGAGCCTTCCGCGAAAAACTGGCGCTTGCGTTGCCGAACGCTGAAACGCCGCAGGAGCTTAACGACTGTCTTCAAGAAGCGGCGACGCCTCTGATGGTCGAAGAGCCTCGCCCTCCTCTCTCGCATCTTCCACAGGTGCGCGGCTTAGTGGGAGCAATGTGGGAGGCACGGCGTCGTGCTCTCGAGGTTTCTTGGTCGACTGGTCTTTCAGTGCTTCCTCTGAGCCTGTCAAATATTTGGGACGTGGTGGTGCGACTACACTTCACAGCCCGCGTCAGAATACAGCTGCGCAGTGTCTGGCAGGGCTGGTGCTCGGCTGCGAGATATCTTGCCCTGCACAGGGCGCTGCGAAAGACCAGTCGTAAGGCGAGGCGGCAAGTGATGGACGACCGCATCTCCGCTGCGGCTCAGGCAGAACAACAAGGGGACCGCTCCGCTCTTTTTGCGGTCGTTCGAACGTTCATGCCCAAACAACCGCGGATGCGGACCCAGCTTCGGGGTCCGGAAGGCGAGTTGCTCTCCTCTGCAGCTGAAGCAGATGCATATGAGGCATACTGTCGTACGGTGTATGCTCCTGCTCTCTCTGCGCGGGAAGAGCTCCCACCGCTGGCACCGCCAGCTGAAAACACTGCGCCGCCCGTGTCCCTAACCCTGGAACACGTCCTCCAGGCTCTCCGGTCTTTCTCCGCGCGAAAAGCAGTTCCCCGTCATCTGGCTCCCATCCTGCTCTGGAAACTCGGTGCTGATCTTGTTGGCCCTCACCTCCATCGGCTCTACTTGCAGGCCAGGCCTCCAGCGGCTGTTTTCCCCCCGCTTTGGGCCGACTCCTGGCTGACTTGGTTGCCTAAGCAGGGGAAGACGGGTACCACCCCAGCGGAGCAACGCCCCATATCCCTGACGGATTGCGGGGGGAAGGCGGTCACCAAGGCGTTCACCTCCCAACTCCAGCCCACTCTTCGGGAGGCGTTGGCTCCGTGGCCGCAATTTGCTTATCTCGGTGGTCGATGCATTGAGCACGCCGTCGCCAGAGTAACGGCCCACTGTGTGGCAGTTCGGGATCGTCTTGCTTCCGGAAGAGTGACCCTGAAACAGCGCAGGGCCGGCAGTGGCCCACAGGGCCAATGTTATGGGGGAGTTATGGTTAGTGTTGACTGCTCCAAGGCCTTCGACACGGTCGATAGACAGGTCCTTAAATCGGAGCTGTGCAGCGCAGGAGTCCACCCTGAGGACGTTGACTTCATAATGCGCATGCACACGGCCATCTCCTATCACCCTGTGCCCAAGGATCCCCGCCGCGCGGTTCACAGCAAACGGGGTGTTAGGCAAGGCTGCGCTTTAGCTCCATCTTTATGGTCGCTCATCACCGTTGCCTTACTGCGTGCCCTCGCGGAGAAATGCGGCACCCAATGGGTCACCGACCTTGTCACTATGTATGCGGACGATCTCCTGGAAACCTGGGAGGTGTACACCAGAAAGGACCTGGATCTGCTCATGCAGGCTGTCAGTCAGAGCTTTCAGCTGCTGGAAGCGCTCGGACTGCAAGTCCAGCCACAGAAGACCAAAGTGGTCCTCGCGCTTAGGGGAAGGCAAGCGCGCCTTTGGATACGTCGACACACCTTGGACACCCCCGATGGCAGAGTCCTTCTTATCCCGGCCCCCAACGGGAAGCCGCACCATCTGCCAATTGTGTCCTCCATCAAGTACCTGGGGGTAGTTCTCAGTTATGGCGACTTTGAGGGCGCCACGCTGACACATCGCCTGTCCTGCGCAGAAGCAAATCGCTCTCGTATTCTCCGTATCCTTCACTCCCGATCGGTTAGCTTGCGGCGTAGAGTTCAGCTGTGGCGGGCGTGCGTCTTCTCCTCAGCCGTGTATGGCCTGCACGTTGTTGGCCTTCGGCCCAAGCATCTCCGCAGGCTGACCGTTGCTCTGGTCAGACACCTTCGGGCAATCGCTGGCAGTTTCGCGCACATCCACCACGAAGCTAGTAGAGCTCTCCTTGACAGACTCGGCGTGGCGGACCCCCTGGAGGCGATCCGGCAGAGGAACCAAACTCTAGTCGAATCTAGCTGGAGTACCAAAGACCCGCAGGTCTCTCATCCCAGGGTTCTAGGTCGACTCCGAGTGGTAAATGAAGCCCTGACCCGACTCTCAAGTTCGCTTCGGGCCCAAACTGAGGCTGTTCAAGGCGAGCTCGTCGATCAGGTGCTGCCCTCTCCGCCACAATCTCGAGAGGGAGCTCCGTGGGGTCAGCTGGTACACAGCTCGGGCGGGCTTAAGGAAGCTCTCTTCCACTGCTGGCATTGCGACCTGTGCTTCGCAGAATTGGCTGCCTTGAAGCGTCATCTGCAAGATGCCCATGATGCTCACACCCTGCCGGTATCCTCGGAAACGGGTTTTCGGGAACATAGTGTGGGAGGGATGCCGGTCTGTGCACATTGTCAAGCGGATCTGGTGTCATGGAATAATTTCAAGCGCCACCACCGCTACAGACACTGTCCAGTGCTGTGGCTGCGGACCCAACAGTCTCAAGATGTCTCCCCTCCTCAGGACGATCCTCCCCCCGTCCCTCCTGTCCCGATGGAGTCATCCACTCTTTCTGCTCCTCAGGCTTGGATTCCTCTCGCAGACTGGCCACAGCTCCGCGACGCCCCCATGAGTCAATGGCTTGAGATCTTCCGAATTCCCTCGGCAGCTCAGATCTTACGTGAGGGCTGTGCCCAATGTGGGCAATGGCTGGTCAGTGTAAAAAGCATCAAACTTCACTATAAGCATGTGCACCCAGACATTTACGCCGCATGGGCCAAACCGGCTGCTGCTGATTGTAGGAGATTTGGACGGGTGCTCTCGCCGTGCCCGCACTGTCACCAGTCGATCACACGCACTGATATTCACTGTAGCACTTGTCCGGCTCTGTGGCAGGCGAGACTAGTTAGCTATGTCCGAGGAAGAACTCATCGACCAGGAAATGGCGGAGGTGTTCGGCAAGCGGCCCCATGCAGGGAAGCCGGGGCAGGAACGTCCCCCCAAATCTCGGATGCCGTGGGGAACGGGCCGCCAATCCAGGGGGAAGGGCACAGGAAAGGGCAACTCAAGCAGCGGAGGCTCTCTTTCGCGCCCCAGAGAGGAGAACGCAGTCCGCGACAGGGAGGAGATGACGCTCCGGATGGGGCAACTGCTGCTGCGACACACGGACTACCTAGCCCGCCTGCGCTCGGACCACACGGTCATCATCACATACCGCAACGACGACACCCCGGAATGCCTCCTGCCCGCCCTCCTAGAGAAGGCCGAGACCTGGCGCCGGCTGAAGCTCGAGAAGTCGCCCAACCTCACTCGGACACTTCGGCAAACGCTCCTTCTCTACACGCTTCAGGAACTCCGGGAGAGAGCTATGATGCTGGAGACCTCTGCAGCACAGGCGCAGGCAGATCGCACCCGCTTCACGGAACTGCGCTGGATGACGGCAGAGGGTCATTGGAACCACTTGGTCTACGACCCGAGCGAGGAGATCATGGTGTGGTGGACCCCCAAAAGCGGCCTCGACCGAGAGCCGAGGTCCTCAAGGAGCTGGAGCGTCTCATCATCATCTTCAAGACGCCGGAACTGATCCTCAAGTACGACTCCTTTCGCCCTCTCAAGGGCAAGTTGGAGGGTCCGCTCATGACGTTCCAGCTGGAGCTGTCTCTGCAGAGCCCGGTGGCGCACGAAGCCATGCAGATTTTGAGGGGGTGGTTTGGACTGTCCCACATGCTGCTCATGGGCGCCCGCATCAAGCCGGAGCGAGCAATCCGGCCACATTTGGCACAGGCTCTACAGCAAGCTCTGTTCGGATGAACGGCCCCGCCATGGGTGCCGGAGCCCCTTCGGGGCGCTCAGGAGCCCCTGCCTTGGAGGGTCTGCTGACACTCAAACTTCTAAATCCCTCTAGCCTGTGTTATATGAATGCGGCTGCATTTCTGCTGGCCTTCACACTTCGAGTTTCCTCGCTCGTCACAAGCAGCTCGAGTGGTTTGGGTCTTGTGGTGAATTACTTGTGTCGGGGTCATAGACGGGTTGTTGATTTACGCCAGTTTATGGCCTGGCAAGCGTTGCTAGTAGGATGGGGCCAGGTTGTAGGAGATCGTGCCTCCCAACAAGATTGTGCGGAGTTCCTGGGCCATCTACTTAGACGAGGGGGGCCCCCCGCAGCGCAAGGCGAGTGGCAAGCTCGCACCGTCCCTGAAACGGCCCAGCCGGCGCCGGTGCGGGACTCAGGTCAGGGCATTCTTTACCTTGAACTGCCTGACAGTGCCACAACCCTCCAAGACTGCATAACGCACTGGCATGCACAGCATGATCCACTGGTCTGCCCACACGCTCTGGTGAGGGCCACGCCTCTCGTGTACCTCTGCCTGGGCAGGTATCGTGAGCGCAGCGATGGGGAGGGAAATCACCGGACGTTGAAGGCCCAACATCGCATTCAGTGTACGCCGCACGCTGAGCTTGTCATTCCTGTGTTCCAGGGGAGCTCAACCTCGGTGACAATGAGCAGATACCGCCTGCTGGCGGGTGTGTATCATCTTGGAGACACAGTCAACAGGGGACACTACCGTAGTTTCATGGCGAGCGGGGATTTCGCCTCTGCAACGGCCCCTCACGGGAGTCCGACCTGGTGGTGTACTGAGGACAGCCAGCCGGCCGCTAGATGCAGCTCAAAGCAGTTGAGAGTTTTGGAGCAGAACTGTTATGTTCTTTGTCTTCAGCTTTGCTAGGGTAGGTGGAGTATGCTGCAAAGTCGTCCCTGCCTGCTGGTAGTGTCGCTACGGGGCAGGGTTTGGGACGTACTGCGGGCATTTTAGTGCGAGTACGGAGATGTCACAGTACAGCCAACTGGGCCGGACTTTTCATCGGGTCTGTCTCCCTTTCCGCGCTAGGTACTCGACAGAGTGCTGCGATTTCAAAGTCAAAAGTCTGTCTCTCTCTCTCTCTCTCTCTCTCTCTCTCTCTCTCTCTCTCTCTCTCTCTCTCTCTCTCTCTCTCTCTCTGTCTCTCTCTCTGTTCTCTTCGCCTTCCCCTGTCAGTTCCCTTACTTCGCCTTTGATCCGTTTCTCCTTTGTCAGTGTCTTCGCGTCTCTTTACTTTTATAGTGGTTTGCTTCTCATCTTTTTTGTTTTCCTCTGCCTCCTTTCTTCCTCCCTTATCATTACTGAGTTGGAGGAGAGAGGAGGAGAGATGAGGAGAGAAGAGGAGAGAGGAGGAGAGAAGAGGAGGACAGAGGAGGAGACAGGAGGAGAGAGAGGAGGAGAGAGCTGTCCGTTCTTTTTTCTCAAGAGGTAGGAGGACAAAAAGGAGAAGAAGAAGAATCAGAAGAAGAAGAAGAAGAAGGAGGGAAAACGAAATTTGCAGACAAACTCTTCTCCTCCCGCTCCTGACTTGCTTCCTGCCTCACCTCTTCCACTCTTTGCTCTGGTTCCCAATTATTGTTTTGTCAAAGTGGTGGAAGGGAGGTGCTCTTAACACTTAAAAAGGGATAGTGGAAGGGTGGTAAAACAACAAGATTTCATGTGTGATTTTTGCATCCAGAAGAGATACAAGGTTTAAGTCGGAGTGAGCAGGACAAATCCAGTCACATGGCAAGGGAGAGCGACTTAGGAAAGCATTTCTGCTTCGGCTGCCCGAGGCCAGATAGTCACACATCAAGATATTTGTTAATGTTAAGAGAAAGAAGAACTTTCATTTGTCTGTGGAAAGGTGGTTGTTTGTCTCTGGGTAAGAATGGCTATCGAGAACCTCTTGTTCTTCTGAAAAACAGAAACTAGTTCATCTCCATTAAAATAGGAAGGGCTACTTCTTTCTAAGAATAATAGACGGAGATTCGTTTTCATAACAAGAAAAGAGAAGCTGTCCCATTTAGGAAGGAGGAGGTTTTTCTGTTCTTACAAAACATAGAACATTCTGATAAACAAATACATTATAGCATTATATATTCGCCGAGAAGGGAACCTCTCTCTCAGTCCGTTCTGGAAAAGGGAGAGAATGAGAGGAAAAGAGAAGAAAAACAAAAGAGGGAGAGGTGGAGTCTTAGACCTTTAGTGGGTGGAAGGTTTATTGGTATTTGAGTTTTATTGGGAAAGCAAGGCAAAACCTCACATTGCACCTAAAGGTCCATGCCACCCAGTTCCTAAACATTTTGGTATATAAACCTCTATTTCCTCTCTAGTTCAAAAGGAATGCCTCTATAGTTTAAGGCAGGCCACTATTTCCTTTTCTCTGCTTGAGTCTTCTTTTGGCCGATTTTCCTAGGAAAACCTCAATTTCCTCTTTTCTTCAAAAGGGAAACCTCTCTATTTCAAGAGGAAAACCTCTACTTTTTTGCGATTTGAAGAGGAAAAATCTCTTGTATCTGGAAGCCACTCTTTTCTCCATATTTCAACTAATTCCTCTATATATATATATGTATATATATGCTACCCCCCCCCCCCCCTGGGTTATCCCGCTTTTTGTGGTTATCCACGCATTTTGTGGTTGCAGCATTTGTGGGGCGAGCCAATTAAATCGTTCACGGGGCCGCGGTGACCCCGAACTGCCACCCCCCCCCCCCCCCCCCCCCCCCCAATAACCCAATCCTCTACATAACGTAAATGTATGCAATCCTTGAGATGTTGAGTCCTTTCCATCTGTCCAAACACTGGGCACAGCGACCTCCTCCCCTCCCTTCCGCTCCGCTGCGCTCCCTGGCTTTTGTAAATGCTTTTTCTTTTCAGGGCTTGTCTCTAAAACCCTTTCGGTAAAGGTTTAAGTCTTATAAAAAGAGACGCCCCGAAACCCTATAGGGTTTAAGGCTTAAAGCCGATAGGATTTAGGGTTAAACCTGAAACCGGAACCTTTAGATCCATAGGGTTTCAAGGTTAAGCAATTACACCTAAACCCTTAACCTTTAAATCCTATAGGGTTAATCGGTTTCGGTCTTTAGAGACATAATTCATATAATCAAATTACGGGTCAACTAAATTAAGGATTTCAGTCTTGATAGTTCAATGTCATTACTTGAACATGAAATATTTTTGAGTTGTTGGGAAACCTGACTGAATTACTTCATTTAAGCAACAATTACATTAATTCAACTATATATTTTTGAAAAGGGCGTTACTTCATTTATATAGTGAGTTTCATTTCATGGGATTACATTAATTAAGGGTTAATTAGATTCATGTGAATGAATTAAATTATTATCCCTCTAAAATAGTTTAATTGACGTACTTGGCACTTGACACTAAATAATACATGGGACGCATGAGTGTCCCAGCAGCTGTCCTTCATTGCTCATCAGTTCATAATCTGTTTGTTGTAAGTCATGCTTATTGGGGAATGTCTTCAGTCTTGCTTTAAGCTTTGCTTATATACTACCGGGTGATGTTATTCTATTTAAGTAGGACACACCTTCTAGAGTCTTGGTCTTATAAGCTTGCTTTGCTTATTGGGGGGGGGGGGGTGTTCGTTTATTCCCCACATCTTTGTGTGGGGTTCTTACTTTTGGGGCTGTCCCGCCTCCTCCTCCTCCTCCTTCGCCTCCTTCGCCTCCCCCCTCCCTCCCTCCCTCCCTCCCTCCTCCTCCCTCCTCCTCCTCTCCACCAACGCACCACACACCGTGTTACCACTGCACCAAGGCATGTCACACCATGACTGACATATATAGACACCACAACGTGCCGCACGCACACACACACACACCATGACTGACCACCAAGGCACCACACACCATGTTGCCACTGCACCAAGGCACCACACACTATGGTGAGCGAGTGAGTGAGTGAGTGCGTAAGTGTGAGTGAGTGAGTGAGTGAGTGAGTGAGTTGAGTGCGGGCTGTGTCCTTCGCCGCAGTTTTGCTTGAGTGAGGTGACAGCGTCAGGGCAGAGATCCAGCATGTCGTCAGCGAGCTGGGTGGCCCTGGACCGGTGCCGCGCGCGCCTTCGGGAACGTTGGCAGGCGCGACATTCAAGGGGCCCTACACCTGTGAAACGTTGGTGCGACAGAGGTGTCATTTGCGCTGGCCGGCGCAGCATTTAGGGGCCCTGGACCGGTGCCGCGCGCGCCTTCAGGAACGTTGGCAGGCGCGACAAAGGCGGCGTTTGCGCTGGCAGGCGCGGCATTTATGGGCCTGGGACGGGTGCCGCGCGCGCCGTTCGTCTTCTCCTCTTCGCCTGTTCCCCTCCTCTTTCCCAGGGATGCAGTAAGACTTTTTTGGGATTCGACAAAAACTAATTCAATTCAACAAAAAAGAAACTAAAGGACCCTCCTCGTCCCCGCTTCCCCGCCTCTTCCCTGGGTTTAGGCTCCTGTTCCCCTCCTCTTCACTTCTTATCCTCCTCTTCCCGGGAAGACGTGAAGAGCAGGGGAAGAGGAGATTGTTTAGCTTCATTATTGGTGTTTTAAACCGTTTTCTGTGTTTATCAGAATTGTTTTAGAAACCCAAACCCGTGGGAAGAGGAAGAGGAGATGTGTTTGGCTTTTGGGTTTTGTATATTTTTCCAAAACTCAAAAAGTCCTAAACCCCTGGAAACAGAAGGGGAAAAGGACACAAAACCTCAAACGATGAAGGCCCCAAGAGGCAGTCTTTAGGATGTGTAGATTTTGTGACTCAAACATTCTACAGATTCCAAAAAGTGAAGGCCTCAGCAAGGCGGCTGTTGAATTTTTTTGTTAGGAGTTTATGTGTGTTTTTTTAACAATTCATTCTACAGATTCCAAAAAGTGAAGGCCTCAGCAAGGCGGCTGTTGAATTTTTTTGTTAGGAGTTTATGTGTGTTTTTTTAACAATTCGAAGATATCGAAGAAATGAAGGCCTCAGGAAGGT